CAAGAAAGCTGGGGGGGGGGAATGTGGTCTAGCCGCCTAGAGTGGTCTTATAGCCCCGATGGGCGGGGTATAAATCAAATAAATAAATAAATAAAATGTGGAATTCTGCAGCCTTTTTAAAAATGCAGCCATGTGGCATTTGTCAGACGACTACTTCGAGAACCATTTCGAACTGCAGCCTGACAGGAAAGCTGCGTTTCATTTCCTGAGCAAATTTGGAATTCAAACAATACACAATCTTTTGAGTTTTCTGGCTTAAACCTTTGGGATACAAAAATTTCATTTTTCTGAACATCTTTTCAACGCAAACGAAGAATTTGCATCCCCAAATTTTCCTTTTGAGGGCCTCTCCTGAATTCTGTCCCAAACCTCTGTCCCGTGTATAAATTAAAAAGCTTAAAAAAAAAAAAAAAGAATTCCATCCAGGACATTTTTGAAAACAAGATTATATATCCATTTTGCAGCAAGGATTTTCGCTGGCTTGGATCTAGATTTGGAATTCTGCAGCCTTTTTAAAAATGCAGCCATGTGGCATTTGTCAGACGACTACTTCGAGAACCATTTCGAACTGCAGCCTGACAGGAAAGCTGCGTTTCATTTCCTGAGCAAATTTGGAATTCAAACAATACACAATCTTTTGAGTTTTCTGGCTTAAACCTTTGGGATACAAAAATTTCATTTTTCTGAACATCTTTTCAACGCAAACGAAGAATTTGCATCCCCAAATTTTCCTTTTGAGGGCCTCTCCTGAATTCTGTCCCAAACCTCTGTCCCGTATATAAATTAGAAAGCTAAAATAAAAAAAAATAAAAAACGAATTCCATCCAGGACGTTTTTGAAAACAAGATTATATATACATTTTGCAGCGAGGATTTTCGCTGGCTTGGATCTAGATTTGAACTTACTTTCAATTTTGCGCTAGAAATTTGCATGACAACTCTCCTTCCAAGTTTAAGGCTGAGTTTTTCCACCCCGAGAGAATTAAAATAATATTTTAAAAGCATTTCGGATTTTGTTTAAAGCAACAGCTTTCTGATCTAAGCTGGGAAAAAAAACCTTTTCCTCTTTCCTCTTCCTCAAAAAAACCAAACAAAAAAAAAACCTCATGAATCACAGAATGAAAACTCAATTCTTTTCTTACTCAATTATTATTACCAGTTGCTGCCTCTGAGTCATGTCATGAACATACACTTACTCAACGGGGACAGCTAACCGTGGTTGAGTTGTTACTTCTAATGAAATCTCAAAAGGATTTTTAGTTGGGTGACATGACCAACTTTATCATGGCAGGGGGGCCTTCGGAGAGGAGACCTGTAAACCCCCAAGAGAGTTGATGAATTTATCTTGTTGGCAGGTCTTTGAGACTGAGGTCCAAGTTTTTGGTACGAAGTCCCTTCACATGCATGAAGGGGTGGGGGAGCACTCACGCTGGCCCTAGCACACGTGTGTGTGTGTGTGTTTGTGTGTGTGTGTGCAAAGCAGCGATGGGCACTGGAGTGTATGTGGGGGGGCATGAGGTCTGTCTCCGCAGCCCAGTCCGGTTCAGGCCACGGACCGGCTCCGGGGCCGCAGACCGGGGGTTGACGACCTCTGACTTAGACCATCCTTTAGCTCCATGGGGGAAAAGCACAACTAAATAAAATGTAAGCAAATTGGCTTGTCCTGAAATGCAAGGCTTGATCATTCTCTCTGTGGCCACTCTCTACCTCAGTGACCCTGGCCATTAAGGGAAAAAAAACTGGCTTACATTTGCATAGGTCCATCCTGATTTCTGTTTCTTGGTTGCACAAATGTGTGACAGAACCTAAGGAACATCCGCTATGAGATAATCAAAGCTTGCTTCATCTCCTGTCTTTCTAGAATTCTAGAATGGGCCCCCCTGTTGCTCTCCAACGATGCTTGGACCTCCCTTCCTGGCCTCTTACCTTCATCGCTGCCCATAAATGCCCCCCGAGGTGAATCGGGGATGCCTCCCCAGACATCGATGTTCTTGGGGTAGTCAGCCTCGACCGATCGGCTCTCTTCGTTGAAGCGATAATATCTGAGATTAATGAAAACAGAGCAGCGTACTAAATTACAGAGGATAAATACAAACAATTACAGTACATGGTTTTCCCTTACAATTTGCTCCCAGACGGTCGCGACAAGAATCACAAGTTTCCAGCAAACAATAGATGACACTTGAATGAATTCATCAGAATTCATCAGTGTAGGATGTGATGAAGATCTTGAGCTTCAGCTTTTCGAAAGAATTAAGGGCAAGTCTGTGGGTCATTAGCCATGTAGATGTTCTTCATCTGCCGATTCTGAGCTTGCTGGAGCATTCGGGTAGCAGCTGATTCTTATCCAGCAAAGCCAGTTTTTACAGATCCCAAGGAAAAAATTTTCCAGTGCCATCCCAGCCTGGGAAGTCCCACTAATTTAAGACAGTTTATTTCCCCAGGAGTAAGCTCAGAATTGATGCTTTTGAATATGGTGCTGGAGGAGACTCTTGAGAGTCCCCTGGAATGCAAGGAGATCAAACCTATCCGTTCTGAAGAAAATCAACCCTGAGTGCTCACTGGAAGGACAGATCCTGAAGCGGAGGCTCCAGTACTTTGGCCATCTCATGAGAAGAGAAGACTCCCTGGTAAAGACCCTGATGTTGGGAAAGTGTGAAGGCAAGAGGAGAAGGGGACGACAGAGGACGAGATGGCTGGACAGGGTCATCGAAGCGACCACCATGACTTTGACCAAACTCTGGGAGGCAGTGGAAGGCAGGGGGGCCTGGCGTGCTCTGGTCCATGGGGTCACAAAGAGTCGGACACAACGACTAAAGAACAACAAAGCTCAGAACTGTAGGTCTCGTAATGCATAGCCAACTGGCTGAAAACAGCCAATGCTTTGGATCTAAAGGTGCTAGAAATAAGTATGCTAGGAATAATTCTCACCTGACCAGAATTTTATCTATCATATGATCACATCAAAAAAATAATAATAATAATAATATAATTTATTGTCATTGTAAGTATATACACAGTATACCATACAATGAAATTCACAAGCAGGGTTTTTCTGAGACTGGCGATGGATCTCAATGTCCTCAAAACATCGCTTGGTTTTCCTTTAAAACCAGAAGTCAAATTTCCAGTCCTTAAGATGGCAGAGGCAGGCTTGAAAATGTGTTGGCAATATCTTAGTGAATTCAGAAGGAAAGGTAAGAAAGGATTCTGTGCAGGCTGGGGGGGGGGGAAGCTCATCTTCCTGCCCTTCTCTTTACGCTTTAGCCTCTTCCTTTCCCACATCAACCCAACATAAGCAACTGAGGCATGATCAATTTATTTAAGATCAGGGAATCTCCAGAGATCCACCCGGACTTTTGGAGGCCTCCATTCACTCTCGAAACGTGCGGAGCCCAAAATATTTGATTACAAAAAGTGGATTGATTGATTTTTTACCCGAAAAGCTGCACTCTCTTAACTAGGAACATTTCTGTTTGATCCTCACTATTGCTCCTCACATGCCTTAAGAGCGCACAACAGAATGCACTCCCTCCCACAAATGCATCTACAAATGGCTTAGACCAACATAGCCCAAGAAGACACCATTTTATCACCCCTCGCCCAGCATCCAGACCATCGGCCCCGAGGAAAAGGCGCTTAAAATAGCCGGAGAAGATGGTCTTATCAGCAGCTCACTTATTTCCCCGGAAGAAGTAGGTCTTCCCACTTGGCATCCAGAAAAGTGCTGCGTCGATCCGGTCTGTGGGAAGCCCTCGACCCAGTTCCTTAATGTGTTTGGGGTAGCCTGGGTCCAGGATGGCTTCGTTGAAGACCCAGTGCTTGTCCCCTGTAGGGAAAAAAAAGAACAATCTCGTTCTCCAAAATGCATCAGCAATTCTATAAAGGCCTACGGCTCTCTAAAGATGGTGGACAACACTACCATGCCATCTCACATCACGTCGCCCTCCACGACAGGTTAAGAACCAGCGGTAGCTTCAAGAAAGAATCACAGAATCATGGAATTGGAAGGGGGCCTTATAAGGCCATCTAGTCTAACTCAAGGCAGGAATCTAAGTTAAAGCAGATCTGGCAGAGGGTGGTCCATTTTTTCTTGAAGGCCTCCAGCGTTGAAGAGTTCACCACCTCCCGAGGTCATGGGTTCCACTGTCATAGCTCTCTAACAGTTATGAGGTTTTTCCTGAGATTCAGCCTAAATCTGGCTTCAGATTTTCAGATAATACAACTGGGTGGATGTAACCAGTTTCGAAGCCAAAACATACACAAATAGCTGAGTCCTTTTTCCCTTCCTGGGCAAAAATTGGCCAGCTGGAAGAAACACAAGATGATGCTGGTTCTTGTGTTCGAGGTCGCGTTTGTCCATAAAAAGCAGAAACTAGGCACGCACATACATACACAATGGCTCATCAAACAATACTTCAAAGGGATTTGCCCGGTGTCTTTGAAGGGTCAGTTAATCACTTAAAATATATATTCACTACAGTGACTAAAAAAAACCCAGAAATCTGATTCAAAGTTAAGATGTTCTGCTTTCTTTTAGTCACTTTGAATAAAAGAAAAAGAATTAAACAGAAGTACCGTATTTTTCTGTGTATAAGACTATACTTTTGTCTAAAATCTTTAGACTAAAAATTGAAGGTTGTTTTGGACACGGAAGGGCTTTGATCACTGCTTTCCCCTCCACTTGCTAAGCCCCACTTAGATTTCTCTATTTTGTGTTAGAAAAATGGGGTGGCGTCTTATACATGGAAAAATACAGTACTTTCTTTCCAGAGTGGAAACACATGCCAAAACAGCTTGTCTTAATATTTGAACATTTCTGTCCCACTCATCACTTAAATGTGCCTGTGTGTGCATTACGCAACACTCTTTTGTTTACATTTTCTCCGCAAACTTCTGCACTTACAGCAACTCGTCAATGGACAACACAAGAAAATACAAGGATTAAAATCTGAATAACCCCAGCAATGACATTACATACAAGAGTCAGAGAAGCTGATCAGACCCTGGCATGGCCTCATCCTTTTTTGCCTGGAGCCAAGCTGACTGGCCAACTGATTATTTGCCATCACTGACATTTCACAGAGTTGAAACGATTATGTGAACAACGAAGTTTAAATCACTCCCATTGGTACTCATCAGAAGAATAATTTGAGGAAGGAAAATAATAATAATATATTTGGGTTCAATAGCATATCAGTGCCTCAAACAAGCTCAGGAAGGAGGACCAGTGAAAATGCTCTTAACCTCAGAAACAAAGGAGCCTATAATAATTCCACGAAACCGAAAATGGCGAAGAGAAAATTCAGATTTTTGGACTGCAGTTCCCCGAATATCAAAGCCAGCAGGACCTCTGTGGGGTTCTGGGAGTCAAGAGTCCAAAAAACCTCCAAAAAGTCTGTCTTCGTCACTGACCTTTGAAGAAGACAAATTTCCCATCCTTCCTCTCATAGGCTGTGTTGATGGTGGAGGGGAGGCCGACCCAGAACTGGCCAATGGGAAGGGGGTACCCGTCCATCACCCGGTTGTTCCGGACTCGCCAAAACCATTTGTCCTGGGGGGGAAAAAAAATCAAATTGATTTGATCTGCAAACGTGTTCAGTGATCTTGAACAGATCTAGCTGGGATTTTAGTTTCATTATACATGTTGTGCTATATATTGCATAGTCTGTTTTTATTGTTGTGACCATTGGTCAAATGGGCAGTCTAGAAATTAATTTAATTAAGGAATTGCACAAAATAAGAAGGAAAGCCAAAGTGCAGAATTCTGCTTTTTTAGGTGGAAGATGTCCTCATTTTTAGCACAATATACACAGCTTTTCACATTAGGAGATGCACAGAACAATGGGTTGGATCCAGAGTTTGCTGTTTTTAAAGGACATCTGATTTTCACAATGGATTCTGACCTTATCACTGCATTTCCTGTTGTTTTATTATGTGTTACTGTTTATTACGTTGTGTAATTTTTAACTTTTATTGCTTTACCATGTTTGATAATTTCAACTACCATTATGTTTTATTATCCATCATTCACTTATTTCATTTCACTTGATTTCCAGACTGCCTTTTATTCATTGCAAAGATCCAAAGCAACTCATAAATTATTCTTTTCTGGATGCCGTTAGACGATGAAATCGCTTTATTGATTAGTTTTTTGTGATCGCTATAGCAATCGCAAAATGATGATTCAATGGGATTTTTTCGCTTTACATTGAATTGGTCCCTGCTTCGGGAACCGATTTTTCACTTCACGACGATCAAAAATAACTGATCGTCGGGTTTCCAAAATGGACTCCCGCTGTTTTCCGGACCTATTTCTGGAAGACAGCGATCAAAAATGGCTTCCCCTATAGAGGATCTTTGCTTTACAATGAGGTATTTCGCCCATTGGAACACATTGACTGGTTTTCAATGCATTTCAATGGGGTTTTTACTTTCGCTTGATGATGATATTGCTTAACAACGATTTTAACAGGGGCACCACTGTATTAAAATATTATATTAAAAACAATTCTATATACAATAACCCCCAAAAGGCCACCACTTTATAAACAGTCTTGAAAGACACACCCAGAAGCAAAGAATCAAATGTACAGCATCCCTCAATAAACCCCCCATTTCAGTTGTCTGATTTAGCTGCTAAAAATTTGCCGAAACAAAAATATTGTTTTCCTCGCAGCAGAAAGACAGCAAGGAAGGGGGCTTATCCTTTGAAGACTTTATGTTTCGTCATAAGCTGCCTTCAGTACAGAGCAGTGAAAATGTTTTAGAATAAATAGTGAGTACATAGAGGAGGATGTTCATATTATTAGGTGGTAAGTGGGACGCTGCATGTCCAGAAATACAGCAGTTGAGAGAGAGAAAAAGGATGGAATCTGATATTGGGTACACAGAATTCTGCCCCCCGAGCCATGGTCCCCTCTCCCGAAATATTCCCAGCCTTTAAGAGTAGGCAAGCTTGAAAATGGATAAGAAACCTCATCAGCACAATGACATTTGATCCAGAATTGTTAGCATCCGTGGCTCACCTATTAGTCTTTGTCTGCTGTCTTTACTAATTGAAAAATAAGCAATTATGCAAAAAATATATATCCGTATTTGGTAAACAGAACTGTTTCCGCTGCAGAATTCAGCTGATTCTGCTGTACCTGATATTAATACATATATTTTAAGTAGCAGATATTACCCAGACTAGGTATTAGGGCTGTCAAAGGAGACAGAGATCGCTCTGAAACAGCACTGTGGTCCCATCTAATCCCTTCGGTCCCCTTTGCCTGCTGGAAGTGTTGACATCCTTCCTTCCCGCCAGCCTCACCTTGAAAACAAACATCTCCCCTCTCAGCACAGCAATGGTATCAAATCTTCCATCACAGATGTTGGGGCCGTACGAGGGGTTCTTGGGCGGCCGGGGAGGGACACGGGGCTTCACGGTGGTGCGGGGGATCGGCGGAGGTTTACTGGGGTGACCGCCTTCAGTACCTGAAGACACAAGGGAGAAAAGGATTTACCTTCCTGTCTTTTAGGACGAGGGAGGATGAAGGCAAAGGAGAGGCAAATGATGATTCAAAATATGATTGAAGTGTTAAGACCATCTTCTTCCCCACCTTGTATTTTCCAAATTTCGATGTACTACATTGATCTTCCCCAGCCATCATGTCCAAGGATCAGCTGGCAGGGCCAAGAGAAGTCATGGCTCTAGTGTCATCTTGAGGAATGTCGGGTTAAGAGAATTAGTTAGATTTGGAGGTAATTCTTGTTTACAACCATCCAGTGTCATGGCAGTATACATCAACGCCCAGTACCAGAAAGTGTGCTTTTTAAAAAAGAAATTACAAGCCATAACATCTTCTGACGGAGGCTTCCTGTTCACGAAGGCAACGTATTTTTCCATGTATAAGACTAAACTTTTGTCCAAAATCTTTAGACTAAAAATTGAGAGTCGTCTTATACATGGAAGTAAGCTGAGGAGAGAACAAAAACAAGTGGAAGGGAAAGCAGGGATCAAAGCGATCCTGCAGTGCTTTAATCCCTTTCCCCCTACACTTGCTAATCCCCACTGAGATTTCTGAATTTTGGATTAGAAAATTGGGAGCGTCTTATGCATGGAAAAATACGGTATATCTCTTATGACTGGTTCCTAGACATTGACCATTATCCCAATGGTCAACCTCAAGGAGTCAGTAACTGGAGATATAGTGCTCCTGGTCAGGGAGCTTCCCTTAAGGGTCCCTCATACTCATGGTCTAAATAGGACATCAAATGTCTTAGAGCAATGTAATACAAGCAACCATGAGCAGGACTCAAAAGAGAAGACCTTACAAGAGATGGAGGCTGGCCGAGAAACATGGCCGCCACCTTCTACCACAAGAGTATAAAAGCACAAGGAGAATCAGGCAATGGATAAGAGGTCACCGTGCATTAAGAGGGCCGTACCGTACAACTGCTGGATGCCACGCCGGTCATCCTCAGGTAATTCAAAGTTCTCCGTGTCCATCCACTGGTAGAAAGGGGCCATGATGGCGGATGGGTCGTTCGAGTGCTCTAAACCTAGCGCATGGCCCAGTTCATGCACAGCTACCAGGAAAATGTCATTTCCTGCAAAAAAAAAAATCAACAACACATCAATACTCAGTAATAAGAGGTTACAAAGAGACCACCATTCATTCTACAGTGTGTTTCGGTTCCCTGAAAGCTGTGGGATGCCAAAGAGAGACAAAGTTACATCCCGGCTTTAATACTGCAATGCACTCTCCATGGGGCTGCCTCTGGAGAGTGTTCGGAAGCTTCAGCAGGTCTGAAACAATGCAGCCAGATAGTCAACCAGGGCTGGTTGCAAGGATCACATAACCCCCCTGTTGTAGCAGCTCCACTGGCTGTTGGTCCCTTTCCGGGCACAGTTGAGAGGTCTTCCTCTCGGTCCCGCCACCTTCATAAGGGCACACGGTGAGTCCACAGGAGAGGGCTTTCTCTGTGGCTGCTCCCAGACTTTGGAACTCCCTCCCACTGGAAGCCAGCCTGGCCCCATCTTTGCTGTCCTTCTACAAGCAGGCAAAGACCTTTCTCTTTAGAGAGGTTTTCCCTGAGTGATTAAACACTGCTTGGTATTTTTTAATGGATTGTTACTGCTTTGAATAGGTTTTTACTGTTGCTTTTGGTTACCCCTTTTAGTGTGATAATTATTTGATCTTTTAAAGTTATTTGTACTGCATACTCCCTGTTTTTAAGCTTTAAATATTGTATTTTTAATCATGTAAGCCACCTTGGGTCCTTTTTTGAAAGAGGAAGGTGGGCTAAAGATATTTTAAATAAACAAACTAAGAAGGCCTTGGGGAATGAGGCCGGCTCTCTTTTTAACGGTAAAAACTCTGATCCAACCAAGGATAGGTCAGAACAGAATAAGGAACTCAATGTGGGACTTTTTCTTCTTCTTACCAACTCCTTCCTCATCTAGACACACACAAGCATCTTAAGATAACGGAAGTCTGGACAGTTATAAAAAAAGGAAGTGATGTTCCCGTCTGATCTCAAGCTGGTGAGTAAGACCAAAAGATGAGCCACCAATAATTCTTTCCGCTTATTTCTTTCATCCTCAAACAAACGTTCTGGAATCTTACTGTATCCTTTTTCGAAATCTGTGAGAAACCTTCTGAACTTCCCCCTCTCTTCTTTACCATCATCCTACCCCCTTTGCAAAAAAAAAGAAAAGAACTCTACGCACAATGAAAAATTAAAAATGAACACCAAGTTCAAAGGCCAACTGAGAAGAACGCTATATGCCGGAGCAATTACAAAGCAGATTTTTCTCCTCCTAGGAGGTTTATCCTTTGTGTAACCAATTGAATTAAAAATAAGCACCCATGTTCTTTCTTAAGGAAGTCTGAAGCCTAGTAATTATGTCTAGGCCTAAAATGCATGCTAAGCTGATAACAAAAATTAATTAATTCTATAGTCCCGTCCTTCTCTCCTTCCTCCCCAACACTAGAGCCTACTTCTCCCAAGTTTAGAAATTGTTGCTCTAAAACAGTGATTACCAAACTTGGGTCCCCTAGATGTTCTTGGGACTACAACTCCCAGAAGCCATCACCACCAGTTGTGCTGGCCAGGATTTATGGGATTTGTAGTCCAAGAATATCTGGGGACCCAAAGGTTGGTAACCACTGCTCTAAAGTTTCTCTAAATACAAAGGTCTTGATAATCCCAGAGTGCATATAACAATGGGCTCAAGCCACAAGAAGGCAACTTTCTCGGCTAAGTATAGGAAAAAAACTTCTTAACTGTGAGAGCAGTACGACAATGGAACGCATGACCTCGGGAGGTGGCGAATGCTCTAATGCTGTAGGCCTTCAAGAGAAAATTGGACAACTCTTGGTCAGATCTGCTTTGATTTGGATTCCGTATTGAGCTCGATGGCCTTCGATGCCCCTTCCAATTCAATTATTATTTGATTCTATGATTAGAGACTGATCCACGTGTAAGGCTCCACTGGTCATGTCCTCCATGTCTTGCACTCATCGTCTTGATACAGTTTCTCACCTTTCCTCTCCCCTGACACCCCCCAACTTGTCCACTTACCGCTCAGGTCATCATTGCGGGATGTCCAGGGTTCAGCGGCATCGAAGTGAGTGTCCCCGCCAATGTGGGGCCCAGGGAAATAGGCGTGGGCTAGGAAGCCCCCCTCACCATCGAAAGGTGTGCTGTCCCCATGGAAACCCTCCGCGAAGAAAATCATGATGTCAGCCTGCGGCTCGTGGCCCTCGCGGATGGATGAGTAAGGCACTTCACGGAAGCGCAGTGGCGTGACGGACTGCCACACGCTAAAGGCGCGCCGGATGGCGCTGTAGGTCGCATGCTCCCCCACCTTGGGCGTATAGTTCTGGATGCTGCCAAGGAAGCACAAGTTGAAATCCCAGGGCTTGACATGGAGGACATTTTGATTTTTTCAAACCACAGAACAACCGTTGCTTCCCAACCTTGGATCTCCAGAGGTTCTCAGACTACAACTCCCAGAAATCCTGGCCTGTACAGCTCATGGGGAAGGCTTCTGGGAGTTTTAGTCCAAGAACTTCTGGAGACCCAACGTTGGGAACCACTGGGATAACAGCATGGATAAAACACAATATGCCATAATGACGGACGCTACCCATTCCGAAGGAGTTTTGCAAGGGTGCACAACTCAAATGATCAAACCAAACATAACAAGGATACAGTGGTGCCTCGCTTTACGATTGTCCCGCATTACGACGAATCCGCTTAACGACAATCTTTTTGCGATCGCAATTGCGATTGCAAAACGATGGTCTGAATGGGGGAATTACGCTTTGCGATGATCCGTTCCCTGCTTCGGGAACCGGCAACGTTTTTTGAAGAGCTGATCGGCAGTTTCAAAATGGGCACCGGGTGATTAAAATGGCTCCCCGCTGTGCTTAGGGATGGATTCCTCGCTATACAGGCAGCGAAAATGGCTGCCGTATGGAGGATCTTCACTGGACTGTGAGTTTTTACCCCACTGGAACGGGTTTCAATGCGTTTCAATGGGGTTTTTATTTTCGCTTTACGATGTTTTCGCTCAACAGCGATTTTCCTGGAACGGATTATCGTCGTTAAGCGAGGCACCACTGTATTTTAAATGTCTTTATTGACATTACCAAACCCTTAGGGAAGCTATTTCAACTTTTTTTCGGAGTGGCAAAAAACAGACCATACCAAAGCTTGGAAACTACTAAACGTTGATCCTCACATCTGGAGAATCCCAGAAGACCGGCTTCCGCTCCAAGGCTTAAGGTTCCCCACCTCCTAGAAATTTCAGACAAGCTAATCATCGAATCAGGGCAAGACACTAAGAATCTTTGGTGCCAGGGCCACAAGAATCCCTTTCTCCGATTTGTAACATCCTGATGTTAAATTTTTTTAAAAAAATCTGAAAAATTCTCTAAAAATCTAGGAGGGGGAAAATTGTTAAGATTCCATGGGAGGTACAAGCATCTGTTCTCCAGGAGCCTGAGAATATGATTTCTGGTTCAAAAATCTTTCAATGTATGTGGAAATCCAGATTTCTCCCTTTTGAAAAAACAACACCACCTTTTATGGCACCGTCCACTTATAAAAAGCCGTCAAAGTGTACACAGTTTTGAACTGCTGTGCCAAATAAAACCTGGTCATCTATAAAGGGGTCCCTAGACTCTTTCTTAGTTTTGCTGTAACAGAGCAACACACCTCCCTGTTTTAATTTTCTTCTTTCCTTTTTAAAGTCTCTAGTCCTCAAGATTGTAAGTGAGGAATATTTGTATACACACACACTGTGTTGTCAAGTAGGAGTTATTAATAAGAAACCCACGGAGGGTCTTTACGGGTTTTCTTATCTAAACAACTATCGCAGTATCTCTCTGCCATGTTCCAGAGTCCACACTGGCTCATAACTATATTTTGATTTCCTTGCCTTCTCTCACAATGCCATAATAATAAAAAATAAAAACCTATCTGGATTTCATCCTCAGAGTTATGAGACAAACATATAAACATAAACCCAAGCTGCATTTTTTTTTTCTTGTAGATCAGCTTTCCCGGCCTTCCATCCTCTTGATGACTAGGATTGCCTACCTTTCCCATGACAGTTCCGGACCCAAAAATAGTCTGTGCGTCACTCCCTCCCCTGCCCCACCTTCAGCTCCCGGCCCAAAATTAGCTCCTCTTCCAAACCTCACCAAAAGCTAAGATCATAATGGGACCACTTCAGTCCCTGGATGGCGTAGCGCCTACGCCGGACGTTGGCCTTGATCTCTGCTCCGAATTTATCTGGGACGCCGCAACGGGGCCTCTTCATAGCCCTGGGAGGGAAAAAGAGGGGGAGGTTATACATTTTCCGGTGCCCAATGAGTCCCCAAAACAGTTTACCGATCTACCTGTAGCATTATGATAAAGCCACCATTCACAGGCTCAAAATCCTGGCTCACCACCTCCCAAGGTCATTTGGTTCCGTTGTCGTACTGCTCTAACAGTTTTTCCTGATTCAGCCAAAATCTTGGCTTCCTGTTGCTTGAGCCCATTATTATATGTCCTGCACTCTGGGATGATCGAGAACAGATCCTGCCCCTCCTCTGAAGGACTACCTTTCAAGTATTTGTAAAGTATTAAGCCACCATTATCCCTATAAACAATATGAGTAATCTTATTAATGGGATAATTATCTATCACCCTCCTCAAGCCTCCCTTATTGCTTTGATCTTAGCTATTCTCCACAGAGCAGCTGTGGAGGAACCAGCTATGAGCCATCCTATTATATTTTGGAGGGTGTTGTGGTCTAGAATGGGCAAATAAGAATGGGCAAATAAGACCCATTAGTCTCACAAAAGCTCTGCCCCTGTTAGAGATGAATACCACCAGAATTAGTTTGTTGGCATGGATCATCCTGCACATTTGGGCTCTCTTTGGGGCTGTGGCTACAGAGACCGTCCTTATGAGCACCTAGGTTTCCAGAACTGCATTTATTTCCATAATCATGTACAGTGGTGCCTCGCTTAGCAACATTAATTAGTTCCGCAAAAATTGCTGCAGAACGAAAATGTCGCTATGTGATATTAAAAAGCCCATAGAAACACATTGAAACCCCTTCAATGCGTTCCTAGGGGCTTAAAACTCACTGCTGAGCGAAGATCCTCCATAGCGCTGCCATTTTTGGTGCCTCTAAAGCGAGGAATCCATCCCTAAACACAGCGGGTGGCCATGTTTTTTTCCCGGTGGCCATTTTGAAATCGCCAATCAGCTGTGCGAAAATGGGGGCTTTGCGATGATTGCTTCCCTGCGATCATCGCAAAGCGAAAATACCCCGTAGAGAACATCACAAAGCGATCGCTTTTGCAATCGCAAAAACAGCGTCGCTAAGCGATTTCGTCGCTAAACAGAGCAATTGCTAAGTGAGGCACCACTGTATCTCTCCATCCTGCCTTTTCCCTAGAACTAGGTTCAAGGCAGTTTACAATACAGTTTGAAAAAACATACAAAAAAATACAGTAGGACATTATATTCAAACAAAGTGAAACGAGTTCTGAGTTCACAGTTGAACAGATGTGAAAACCCCAATAATAATAAGAATATGGACATCAGTAACCTATTAAAAGCCTTCTGGCGCAGTGCCACAGGACTGTCTGCGCTTTAAAATTCATCGGAATTCTTCATGGAATTTCTCGAAACTTAAGATGGTGGAAGACAAGGTTTCGAAATGGGCAAGGTTCAAAGAGGATGGAAGGCAAGTCCTCCGGAAATAAACACCCAATCTTCTGGGTTTCAGCCATAGGCCCCACCCCACCCCAGGCCGAGCAAGGTGAGCCAAAGTTGGCTTGGTTTCAAAGCAAGATGGAGCAGGTGTCCCAGGTCACTGATCTGGGGTGCCACTGTGCATGCGCAGAGAAACAGCACAACCAATCAGACTGACAGCTCTTGTACCGGTCGCCATCTTGTGACGGCTTGCCAAAGACAACATTAAGATGGACTGGGCTCATATGGGGAAGGGGTGTAATTTGTGGTTTCTGCCTCAAAACCTCAAGGTCTCATGACGAACTATGGGACTGCATGGTCAAGGGTTATATGTCATGCCTTAATGCATAACTTTGGAGCAGTTGTTGTTGTTGTTTAGTCATTTAGCCGTGTCCAACTCTTCATGATCCCGTGGACCAGAGGACGCCAGGCCCTCCTATTTTCCACTGCCTCCCAGAGTTGGGTCAAATCCATGTTGGTCGCTTCGATGACCCTGTCCAACCATCTCGTCTTCTGTTGTCCCCTTCTCCTCTTGTCTTCACACTTTCCCAACATCAGGGTCTTTTCCAGGGAGTCTTCTCTTCTCATGAGATGGCCAAAGTACTGGAGCCTCAGCTTCAGGATCTGTCCTTCCAGTGAGCACCCAGGGTTGATTTCCTTCAGAATGGATAGGTTTGTTCTCCTCGCAGTCCAGAGGACTCTCAAGAGCCTCCTCCAGCCCCACAGGTAGTAGTAGGAGATACTAAGTAAAACCAGTGGGGTAGTGGTAAATTTGGACATTTCGGTGGCCATCATGATGTCCCCACAGCCAGCGCCATGGCCCATAAGAAAATTCTAAGAATTCAGGGGTGAGCCCTATGAACCACTGAGGAGGGGGTCTTTTTGTAAAGTTAACAGCTCTTGATTGCCTGTTCAGGGCCAGACCACTTTCAAGCGCTTTGCACTGCAGCAAGACCAGCTCATGATGATATTCCTCTCTCAGTTACTACGAGGAGTCCAGCTAAACACACACACACAGGACCATCATTGACAAAACAAATCCTCTTGTTATTTCTGCCTCTCGCCCACTCTCTGTGTCTGTGCCTCCATGTCTATAGTTTTAGTCATTGTACACCCACAATGTTTATTTTCTCTGCATAACACAAAGACTTTTTTTTTAAAGTTCTGGCACAACCTCTTTATCCCTAAACCCTTCACTAAGCCTAATTACTGCAATAACCCACATATTTCTTCCTTGTTTACCTCATCTCTGCTTCCCACCCCTTCCTCCCCATGTCGGTTGTGCCTATTTATAGACTTTAAAGCCTTGTGGGGCAGGAATATACCTGGTCCTTCTTCACAATGTGCCTTATATATGGAGGGTGTAATACATGTTAACATGCCAGCCAATCAGGACAATAATAATGTCTAAATACATAAACATCCATGACCAAACAGTCACCAAAATCCTGTTGCGTCGTGTAGTACATTGCACTAGAGTAAATTCACTCAATCTATGGGGTTTGATGAGCCAACAGGTCTACAAGTCAAGTTTGATTCAATGGACCTATTCTAGTGCAATTTATTATGCTACGCAACAGGATTTGGGCGGGGGAGCAGATCTCATGGATGATGAAATTTTGAATGCAATGGTTTACAGTTTTTAAAAGAATATCACACTTTACAGGGAATCTCCATTAGGGGTTGAACTGGAAGGACCTTTGGGCACGTATGGATTAACGGATTAAATGTTCCGAACACTAAGCCTAAGGAAGAACTCCGTGTGACTCAAAAGTCTGTATCAAGCGTTTCAAGCAAGCTTAATCTTCATTTATTGTTCCTTATTCTATCCAACATATAAACCTGCCAAGGACCATTCCTGAAACGGTGAGATTCTCACTGTGATTGGTCAGCTTTATAGTAGAGGAAGACTGATTTAATTCCTTGTAGGCAGTTTGCTTAACGAAGAAAATTCAAAAAAGGAGTTTGAGACGCTTGAGAACTGGGCTGAAAAAAAAACCCAAATAAAATTCAACATAGAGAAGTGCAAAGTTCTACACCTGGCCGGGGTGGGGGCGGGGGGGGAGCAAATGCACAGTTACAAAATGGCAGAGACTTGGCTCAGTAATACTATGAGTGAAAAGAATCTTGGAAATGTTGTAGATCAAAAGCTGAATAGAAGCCAACAGTGCCATGGGGCAGCAAAAAAGGCAAATACGATTTTAGGATGCATTAACAGGAGCACGCCAAATCCCATCACTTACTAGGTACTAGTGTTTAGGCCTCACCTAGAATACTGTGTCCAGTTCTGGACACCACACTTTAAGAAGGATGCCAACAAACTGGACGAAGTTCAGAGGAAGGCGACAGGGATGATTGGAAACCAAGCCCTATGAGGGGAGACTGAAAAAAACTGGGCATGTTTATCCTTGAGAAAAGAAGACTGAGAGGAGATTAGACAGCACTTTTCAAATACTTGGAAGGCCATTCATACAGAAGGGCAGAATCTGTTCTCGATCATCCCAGAGTGCAGGACACACAACAATCGGCAGAAGCTACAAGAAGCCAGATTTAGGCTGAACCCCTGGGAAAAAAACTTCTTAACTGTTAGAGCAGTATGACAATGGAAACAATGACCCTGGCAGACGGTGAGCACTGCAGCGCTAGAGGCCTTCAAGAGAAAATTGGACCACCCTCTGTCAGATCTGCTTCGTTTGGATTCCTGCCTTGAGCCAGGGGTAGGACTCAGTGGCCTTTTAGGCCCCTTTCAACCTTTTCTTCAGAAGCGGTTTTGAAAGAACTCTTTTAACGTCCTTCTTCCTGCTTTTCCTCGGCAGCCTTGCCAATCTCTTGTGGTGTGGAGTTCCGCTGGGCCGACCAGACACGGTTTGCTCTGTTTGCAGTAGCAAGGCCACCCGGGGACAGGATGTTGCTTAGCCACGCTCTCCAATTGCCAGCACTGGAAAACTGGAGGCAGGCGGCCAGCCGGCTGGCCACAACCACAGACGGCCTCTTTCTCTTGGTTACATCATGGCCTTTTAGGTGGTTTCATAACATCTTGTCCCCACCACCAGCTTTTTCAAGGCTCCTTGGGGAATATTCTGCGCTGTGCCAGAAAAACTGCCAGTAGGTCTTCAGTCGTCTGAAGTCTCTCTCCTCATTTCTTCATATCCTGCCTGCCTTGAGGTTGGGATTTGCTATTTATGCAAAACCTTTTGCATTCATGTGAACTTCTTTCTGTCCCAAGGCTTTCTCAAGGAAGACCCGTGCCAATCGCATCACTTGTGTGACAAAAGTCTTGTGGCTTTTCCTCTCCTTCTCTCCTCCAAATACAGGCTGCGTCACCACCACGGCAGGTAAATGAGGTCTCCCTGCACCCGGCATAATGGCTGTTCACCCCACAGCTAGAGTACATGAACTACGATATTTTTCCACGCATAAGACGCCCCCCACTTTTCTAATCCAAAATTAAGAAATCTCAGTGGGTCTTAGCAAGTGTAGGGGGAAAGGGATCAAAGCGCTGCAGGATCGCTTTGATCCCTGCTTTCCCCTCCACTTGTTTTTGTTCTCTCCTCAGCTCACTTCCGTGTATAAGACGACCCTCAATTTTTAGCCTAAAGATTTTAGACAAAAGTATAGTCTTATACATGGAAAAATACGGTAAATGCAACTATGAAGATGGTGAGCCTGGGAAGAAAATGTCCAACTTGTTCATGCTCTAATGGCCTCAAGACAAATTTAGGCCGAACATTAGGATAAAAAACTTCTTAACTGTTAGAGCAGTATGACAATGGAACCAATTGCCTTAGCAGGTCATGTGGACTTCAACACTAGAGGCATTCAAGAAGAAATCAGAGAACCATTTGTGTGATCTGCTTTAATTTGGATTCTTGCATTGAGTGGGGGATTGGACTCAATGGCCTTATAGGCCTTCCAACTCCATTATTCTGTGATTTTATAATTCAAGAAATGCCGGATTTTAAAAGTCAACAACATCACTTGTTAAAGTTTCTTTGCTGGGACTACCACGTCTACAGAGAGCAGCCAAAATCCTGCTGTTTAGTGTAACAAATTGCACTAGAGTAAGTCCAATACATCAATTCCCTCATTTCTCCCTATTTTGTGGTCCAGCAAAAGAACTTTGCAAAAAAAAGCAACAAAATTTGAGAGTCACTTTTTCCTATTTTTTTCTGTTAATGAAAAATTGCCCCTTCATTTGTAAAGTGAGAAGCGGGGAAGCTGAAGGGAACGAAGGAGGTTACTCACTTTAAGGTCTCTGGGTCCACTGTGCCGGTCACCTGAAGCCCGTAGAACCGCTGCATGGCAGCGATGGCGGCCGAGAGCGACTGGGGGGAGCGCTGGGTGTGGGTACGCAGGTCTCCGGGGGGAAGATAGCCATATTGTTGTAGCCAAGCCTAGTGGGAGGATCAGAACAAGAGTGTGAGGGAGACTAGATGAAGTGTGGAGCCAGATTTTTTTCTCAGACCCTAGGGGAAAAAATGACCCTTTCTCTCTCTTTTTGGAATTTACGATACCGTATTTTTCTCGTGTATAAGACACCGCTATGTATAAGATGCCCCCCACTTTTCTAATCCAAAATTAATACATCTAAATGGGGCTTAGCAAGTGTAGGGGGAAAGGGATCAAAGCGCTGCAGGATCGCTTTGATCCCTGCTTTCCCTTCCACTTGTTTTGTTCTCTCGTCAGTTTATTTCCGTGTATAAGACGACCATCAATATTTAGTCTAAAGATTTTAGACAAAAGTATAGTCTTATACATGGAAAATATGGTAATTCCCAGAATTCCCCACGTTTCTGGGGGATTCTAGGAACCACACTGGTCTGGAGTATTCTGGTAATCCTATTCTAAAAAAAAGGAACTTTCAAATTTTATCTTGCCTTTACCACCAGATCAACAGCCATCCATTTATTGGTGCAGGAGGGACAACAGCCATATCAGTGTCCAAGAAACCAGACCACATTATTTACAGGGTGTCTCCCGCTTTCCAATATCTGTAAATAGACTTTTGTCCTCCCTTGCATCTGAGTGACATCTTTTGTGGCTATGGCTCCATGAACCTGCCTTCTCCTCCTTTCAAACCAACAGCCAGCTCTCTTCCCCTAGAAAGCTAGCTTGTCCTGGGGAACCAGCCATTTCCCTGATAAGCAACTTGTCTAGATAGAGGGGGCCTAAGTTTCATAGGGTGGGGTTTCGTTCCTATGAGCCCATACCCACAGTTCACAGTAGGATGGGCCAACCACAGAAGACAGCCGCAAAACCATAATTGTCGTAATTAATATGAGCCGCCATGGGTCTCTTTCAGGGAGAAAGGCAGCAGAGAAATAAATGAAAGAAGTAAGTAAGTCTGCAGGAACCTGACACAGATTGACCTCAACGTTGGTAAAGTAAAAGGTAAAGGTTCCCCTTGGTGACACAGATTGGTAAAGTAAAAGGTAAAAGTTCCCCTTGACAATTTTTGTGCAGTAGTGTTCGCCTCTAGGGGGCGGTCCTCGTCCCCGTTTCCAAGCCATAGAGCCAGCGTATTGTCCGAAGACAATCTTCCGTGGTCACATGGCCAGTGCGACTTAGACCCGGAACGCCGTTTCCTTCCCACCGAGGTGGTCCCTATTTATCTACTCGCATTTGCATGCTTTCGAGCTGCTAGGTTGGCGGGAGCTGGGACAAGCGACAGGCGCTCACTCCGTCGCATGGATTCGATCTTACGACTGCTTGGTCTTCTGACCCTGCAGCACAGGCTTCTGTGGTTTAGCCCACAGCGCCACCACGTCCTTCTCAAAGTTGGATCTACCCTAAATTTCAATCCAATCTCCCAGCCGCCCACCCCAAGGATAGTGCTGTACGCTCAGCACCCAGCGCTGTTTGCTTTGAATACTGTGCTCTTTATCTATTTTAACACCCTATATCATCATCATCATCATCATAGAACTGCAACGCTGAAGGGGACCCTATGGATTATCAAATCAAGGAGGCCCCGGGGGGTGGGGGGAATCGAACTCCCAACCAGATGCCTCAACCACTGAGCTATCCAGCCTTCCTAATCCAGTCACCCCCCAGATACATTATCTAATCCCCTGTACCCACCCTATTTTAACCATTCTTTATTTGCCTAGTGCATTTATAATGTGTTATTATAACTGTGTGTATTAGCAACTGAAGAAACAGGAGCAAAACATAGTAATTTTTTTTCCTGTATTCTATTTTTAATCTGCTTAATATTTTTTCCCCTTGTTTTCTCTCCCTTTATTTTAGGTCCACCTTGTGAACATTCATTCATTCATTCATCCCCACAGACTCAACCCAATGATCCTTCTACAAGGGCCTTCCCCTACCTGACACCCTTCAGATATGCTAGGTTTTCAAGTCCCATCATCCACATATTGTTGGCCAAGGTTGATGAGAGCTACAGCCTTGCATCTCTGCAGGCCATCAGATTCGGGAACGTGACTTCATCCACCCCTCTGCCCCGCAGCTCTTGCATTTATCCCACTACAGTGGTGTCTGGCTTAACGACGATAATCCGTTCCAGGAAAATCGCTGTTAAGCGAAAACATCCTAAAGCGAAAATAAAAACCCAATTGAAACGCATTGAAAACCATTCAATGCGTTCCAATGAGGTAAAAACTCACCATCCAGCGAAGATCCTCCATACGGCAGCCATTTTCGCTGCCTGTATAGCGAGGAATCCGTCGCTAAACACAGCGGGGAGCCATTTTGAAACCGCCAATCAGCTGTTCTAAAAACATCGTTTTGCGAAGAATCGGTTCCCGAAGCAGGGAACTGATCATCGCAAAGTGGAATTCCCCCATTTAGACCATCGTTTTGCGACTCCCATCATCCACATATTGTTGGCCAAAGTTGATGAGAGCTACAGCCTTGCATTGCTGCAGGCCATCAGGTTTGGGAACGTGACTTCATCAACCCCTCTGGCCAGCCGCTCTTGCATTTATCCCACAAATTCTCTAACTGCTCCTTCCATTTTGCATCCCGTATTATCTCCCTGCCTCCACCAGGCACCCAATTTCCCCTTCCCATCCCTTCTCTTGATCAAGTGCTCCTTCCGTTTTGCATCCCATATTATCTCCCTGCCTCCACCAGGTACCAAATTTCCCCTTCCCATCCCTTCTCTTGATCTTTATCATGATTCACTCTAGGTCTGCAGTCATTCCCAGACGCTAAGCAAAGCCAGGAGTTCTGCAGTTAGAAGATTTAAGACGCCATGGAGGAGGCTCCTGCAAAACCCAACTTGCCTAAAATTAAGATCTTGGGTTCTGCAAAGCTTCTTGGGCTAGAGGGGTTGACGATGTGTGCGCGACAGCATGAGAAAAGCCAAGAAAGCTGTAGAGGAGGAGAAGTGAAGGAGGGCAGAGCTGCAGAAAATCAAGGTTCAGAATGGACACTTTTGATCTATGCCTCTCGGGCTCTCTCCCCTTACGTAACATCAGGTGACTCAAAGGGGATGTTGCTCACTGCCCCAGAAACCCAGGAAAAAAATCAAGGATGAATTAGAGGTCGATGAGTTGGGGCGGGCGGGAACAGCATTAACTCCTTGTTATCCAGGGATTTGCAGACAAACACAATTCAACCTTTCTGTCTAGTTCTATTCTCACAAATACAGTGGTGCCCCGCATAGCGATGTTAATCCGTTCCGGATTAATTGTCGCTATGCAGAAACATCGCTAAACGGGATGGAAAAAGCCATCGGAAAGCATTAAACTTGGTTAATTAAACTTGGTTAATTAAACTTGGTTTAATGCGTTCCTGTGGCTCCCAAACTCACCGTTCAGCGAAGTTCCTCCATAGTGCTGCCATTTTCGCGCCCTCCGTAAGCGGGGGCAGGGCGCGAAAACACTTGTGGTGGCCATTTTGGACACCCGGCAGCCATTTGGGAGCCGCCGATCAGCTGTTGAAAAAAACATCGCAATGTGAAGATCAGTAAGCGAAACATTTACTGATCATCGCAATGCGATTTTCGGCCATAGAAAACATCGCAATGTGATCATAAAAACGATCGCAAAATCCGCATCGCTATGCGGATTCGTCGTTAAACGGTGCACTTGTTAAGTGAGGCACCACTGTATGCAGGAATTGCACGGCTTGGTAACTTCATGCAACTTTTTACGCCAACCATCCTTTCCCCTCCCTAGTAAAAACCAGTCAGATTTCTCTTGAGAATCTTACAGAGACAAGGCCAAAGGGAAGACTCCTTTTTTCTTAGTGGTTTTGTAGCATTTGGCAGTCACTCAAGGCTATACTGCTCCTGCAGCTGGAGGTTCCAACTTCCATTTAGCGACGGAGAACAAACATTCCCCCTCTCTCAAAGCACTAAAAATGGTCTCAGACAGAAGACAGGTACTTCTCCCCCTAATTAACACAATTATGAGTCTTCAGTAAAAAGATAATGCTGATAGCTACTGGAATGGTTGGCATTAAAGGGGGATAATGCAGATTCATGGAGGCGGAAAAGTCTACCGATATTAGCCGCACTGCTTTAAATAGAGCCTCCAGCTTCAGAAACAGCGCGCCTTTTAATTAAAGCTGCTGGGCCGAAGGCACAAACAGCAGAAGCAGAGCTTCGTGCTCTGCTTGGGGTCTCTTTAAACGCATTAAACAGGTTAGCCACAGATGGAAACAGGGTTCTGAATTAAGAGAAGCCTTCGTTTTGATCCAGATTTTCTCATCGTCGTTATGGCTAGTAGCCACTGGCAATGGTATCTTGGCAAGCTTTGATTCTGGCGGCTCACACGATGCGTGATACAACACAGCCGCTGTTCTTCTCCCTGCGAGTTTTATTTATAACAACTGCCAACCCGCACAAGATTTCTTCCTTGATTAATCATCTGCCTTTGAAACATGACTTGGAAATGCAACTCTCTGTAGACAATAAAACCTTCTACTCCTCGGCAAGGAATTCTGGGAGTTATAGTCCAAATCTCATATATATGATTACAAGTAGTCTATCAATGAATTCAGGCTGAAATTCTGCACACATGTATCAGAGCATCCTGCTTCGGTGTGGGCACAGCCATCTCTGTGCGTTTAATGGGAATCTCATTACAGTGTGGGGCAGAGATTGCTTCGTAGTAAATGCCTTAAGAAAGTGTGCCTACCCAAATACACAGAGAGAGACGGGGAGGGTAGGTACAGGGGGTAGGGACTTAATATAAAGTCAAAAACCTAAGTCTCAACTTTCAGAGCCTGGCAGGAATACGAGGGCAGAATAAATATTTCTCTATACCCAAGGGCATTCGTTGTTGTTTTTAAAAAAAGTGAAGGTGTTTAGAATTGTCGGCTGGCAATATCATGGGACGTTGCGCATTCCAATGTCAATTATTTCTCTCCTTTTTTAAAAAAAATCCCTTTGTCTCCTTCCCTGCTCTCTTGCTTTGACCTCTTGCCAAGGTTAGGTACCCCCCCAAAAAAAAGTTCCTTAGGCCTTCCGTTTTTTTCTGCTTCTCGCTCTCTCCCTTTATTCCCCACCACCAACCCCAAGATCCATTCTCTTGCTCAGCAGGAGAGAGCAAAGCCTTTTTAAAAAAGATGCCCGGTGGCATCCGTGTGCGGTACCCAAAATATCCCTTGGAAGGGAACGCAGCACAAACAACCGGCCGCCCACGCAGCCGCTGCTCCGGGACTTGAGAACCTTTGCCTTTCCCTGTTTCATCCGTGGGCCAAAACCTTCCTCCAGCCAGCCCTCCAACATCCCTGGGCCTTCATCTCATCCAAAGGCTTTTTTCTTGGGGTGTGTGTGTGTGTGGAACAAAGCCCTCTTTTGTCTGTTCACATCCTCATTCCTGGCATTTCGTTTGAAAACCTCATTCATTCCGTCATCCCGATTCGGACCTCCGTGGTCTAAGGTCACCGTCGCCGGGGGACCCCCTTCTCCCTTCTGCTGTCTATCTCCAGACGACTTCCTTCCATTTTTTCCCTCTCTCACTTTCCCCATTGAAAAGTTTGCCGGGAACACCCACATGGAAAAGCTGCCCTCTTCCTGCCAGTGTTCGTTCCCTATAAGCTGGCTCTTCCTCTTCTGTTCCTTAGCCTGCATCCGATTCCTTCCTTCCAAAGAAATTTGGTTGCAAGACAAAGGCCAGTCTTTCATCATCATCATCATCATCATCATCATCATCATCATCATCATCATCATCATCATCATCATCATGATGATGATGATGATGATGATGATGATGATGATGATGATGTCCTTGACTTCTCCAGCATCTTCGCTCCACCTCTTTCTTACTTGCCCTCCCCATCACCCCTCTCTGGGGTTCCTCCTCCTTCAAAGCCGCCCACCCTAAAAAAAAAAAAAAGGCAGATTCCTTTGTTCATCCGAGACTTCAGTTCAGAATCTCCTCCTGCATAAAAAATTCCTTCCCTCGGCTCTTTGCGGCCTCCTCCTTCGCTGCTCCCAAAGTTTCCACAGTAACAAAAGGTGAAGTTCTTGGGACCGGGCAGGAAAAGTGGAAAGTAGGGGGAGAGGGAGAGGAAAAGGTGGTGAATGTAGGAATGATAGCCCCCCCCCCATTCCACAAAGCCAAGAAGAAAAGGAAGGAATAGGGGAAAAGTTGGAAGGAGCTCAAGGTGGTTTGTTTTTAATCCCTCAAGGCAGGATTGCGTAACTGGGAGCAGCATGATCCGGAAGGCAGAAAGATGGGTGGGCGATGCAAAGATAGATACGGCTGAATGGGGTGGGGAAAATCTGGATTGGGAAGGTTGGCGTGATGGAGGGCTGACCCAGAGGATGTGGCTGGATAAATAGGCAGCCTGGGGGCCGGCAACGGTGGTACATTTCCGGCAGGACAATCCCGTAGATGTCCAAAAGTCTGGTGGGACTAACGTGCGCAGGGTCTCAAGCTAAGAGGGTCAATGAGAGAGTCTTTCTTGTCCTGGTATGGACACATGAATCTTTGTCTCGCCAGAAGTTGTAATCTCCACGCCAAACATGCTTCAAAACTGATTAGATAGGTCACATAGGCTGGAATCCAGGAGAACATCATGACAGGAATTAGGCCCATTGAATCAGTGGGGACTGGGTGAATCGACTCCTTTGGAAGTCCCACTGATTCAGTGGGGCTGGTCTAGGTTTTTTATTATTATTTATTTTATTAGTTTTATACCCTGCCCATCTAGACCAATGGTCTACTCTGGGAGGCATTACAAAATTTAAAAACAATGGAACCAATAGACATGCAAAAATCCTGTATGTTAAAATGTAAATATTAAGATAGTTGTGACCGACTACTGTACTGTACTGGATTTGGGTCACAGATGACACGGCTGTGGATAGAGGGCTAATAGGAAGGAAGGAAGGAAGGAAGCTGTATGTTAAAATGTAAATATTAAGATAGTTGTGACCGACTACTGTACTGTACTGGATTTGGGTCACAGATGACACGGCTGTGGATAGAGGGCTAATAGGAAGGAAGGAAGGAAGGAAGGAAGGAAGGAAGGGAG